CCTCCCTTCTCTCTCTAAAAATCAATGAAAATGTCCTCGGGTAAGGATTTAAAAAAAAACACACATTACTCCTTCCATTTGCATTGGGAAGCAGCACCTCTAAATTGGAGATAAAGTAGTTGAAGGATTGAAATCACCCAGCCCAGGCAAGTCATTCTCTTCCCAGGCTGTGCATTGGAACATGGGGAGGGCTTTTTTTTTCTTTTTGGTTTTCACATTTTATTGGGGGCCACAGGGGAGGGGACCTCCTCCCTGTTGGGGGGGGGGGGGGTTCACCGTTTCTTCAGCCACTCCAGGCTTTGGCCCTGGGGGTTCTGGGGGTGGCTGGGCACATCAGGCATGTTCCCATCATCTTGGACGAGCACTGGATAGTTGTAGGGTGTGACCTTGTTGATCATGATGGCATACTTGGTGAAGGGGCTGAAGAAGGGCAGAAGCAAAGAGAGGCTCCCGATGGCGCAGGACACGACCAGCACCAGCTCCTTGGCCCAGGCATCCTTGATGAAGGTGGCAAGTCTCCCAGCCATCTTGGTCTCGGCGGCGGCGGCCCATGGGGAGGGCTTTTAAGGACACACCGGGCTGAGCCCCACCCACATAGGCTAGGATTCAGTAGGCATAGGGGAAAGCACATGCATCTGTATTTTTTAAAAGCTAGGTGATAAAAACAAAATGTGTTTGATTCATAGAAGGAGAGGGCCATTAACTTATTTATAATTAAAAGTGTTTTACTGACTTAAGGAATATATATTTATATATAAAATTTAGAAAATAGGCAAAATGTAAGAAGAAATAAAAATGACCTATAATCCCACCACTCAAAAATAACCACTGTTAATACTTTGGTGCATTTTGATCCTGTATTTCAAATTTGTGTGTGTGTGTGTGTGTGTGTGTGTGTATGTGTGTGTGTGTGTGTGTTTTGAAGGCATTCTCTAAATATCCTATCTAATAATAGACAAACATGGTAATTGACCATAACTTCGCTACACCTCCCATTGGCTAATCAGCACGATATGCAAATTAACCCAACCAAGATGGCAGCC